TGAGCATACAAGACGTTGCGAAAAGAAACCCTTAAAATTACCTACATTTAAGCTTATTTCACCTTAAGACTAGCTTTATTTCAGGATTTTTGTTCACGCTTGAAAATCCTAAAACAACCTCGATTTTCCGGTTTTTATATAGAAGGTTTTTTTCCAAGGTTTTGAATTTCGGTAATGTGTGTAGAATAGAGCAGATTTTCACAGATCTCGTTTAAAGATTAGAAACTGCATAAAAAACCTTTTCAGGTTTACATTAAAAGGTTTTTGCTGAGTGAAAATAAATCTTTTTTTGCTATCTGGTAAATTCTTCTAAAACAATAACTTAACGGAACGCAGGTGACTACTAATCAGTTATTAGTTTTTATTTCCTATTGTAATATATGTAGGATTATTAAGAGATACACAAAACATATTTAACTCTTTAAATACTTTTAAATTTTAGGTGTTATAACGAAACAAATGAGATCAACAAATGCTGCAATAACTATATATTCATTTCTATAGTATCTATAGATCCATCAGCGATGGAGAGTTGTCGTTTTCTGAATACATGAACTCGATTTGTTTGGAAAAATATTTCTCACATACAGTCCTTTTCGTTTTCAGAGTCGGGGTAAGATGATCATCTTGGAGAGTTAGAAGATAAGGATGCAAATGAATTTTTTTTACCTAAAAATTGAGTAAAAAATAATTATTAAGGACAAATAAAGATTATTTTTTACAACACTACCGGCAAAAATATTTTTATATTTGCATTTGTACTGATTTTTTTCAGATTTCTGCATGTTTTTAAAATTATTTTATGTGACATTTACTTTAAATCTTATTAAGGTAAAGCTAAATGCGAATATAGCTAAAAAAATAGCGTAGAATTTGACACACAGTTCGGGATCAACATGTAAACAATAACTTTCCTAAGAGTCAAAACACAAAAAAAATAAAATAAATCTTATTAAATGGCAAAGCTAAACAATGTGAATAAAGCACAAAGAGTGCTGTAAAGTGGACATCTCTATAGATTCAACTCTGTAAACAAGAACTTACCTAACAGCCAAAAGTCAAAAATTTTAAAATCTTTTTAAAGGATAAAGCTAAATAATGTGAAAAAAAGACACAAAAAAGCATAAAAATGAACACACTGCAGTTCCGGTAGTGTGAACAAGAATTTTCCTCAGTGACGAAACACAAAAATTTTAAATCTTATTAAATGACAAATCTAATAACCGTGAATAAAGAACAAAAAACTGCATAAAAAGGGAATGCTACAGTTCCGGTTCCGTAAACAAGAACTTTCCTAAACTTCAAAAGACAAAAATTATAAAATCTTTTTAAATGATAAATCTAAACAATATGAAAAAAACGTAAAAAACTGCATAAAAATGGACAACACTACAGTTCCGGTTGAGTAAACAATTTTTTTCCTCAGTGACGAAACACAAAAAATTTAAAACTTAGTAAATGATACATTTAAAAACCGTGAATAAAGTACAAAAAACTGTATAAAAAGGAAATGCTACATTTACAGTTCTGTAAACAAGAACTTTCCTAAACGTTAAAACACAAAAATTTCAAAATCTTTTTAAATGATAAAGCTGAACAATATGAAAAAAGCGCAAAAAACTGCATAAAAATGGAGACACTGCAGTAGTGTAAACAAGAATTTTCCTCAGTGACGAAATCCAAAAAATTAAAATTTTATTAAATGATCAATCTAAAAATCGCGAATAAAGCACGAAAAACTGTATAAAAAGGGAATGCTACAGTGCCAGTTCTGTAAACAAGAACTTTCCTAAACGCTAAAAGACAAAAAAAATTTTGAAATCTTTTTAAATGATAAAGCTGAACAATATGAAAAAAAAAGGCAAAATACTGCATAAAAATGGACACACTGCAGTAGTGCAAACAAGAATTTTCCTCATGACTAAACCCAAAAAATTAAAATTTTATTAAATGATAAATCTAAAAACCGTGAATAAAGCACAAAAAACTATATAAAAAGGGAATGCTACCTTTCCAGTTCTGTAAACAAGAACTTTCCTCAAGGCTCGAAACACAAAATTAAATGATAAAACTAAACTACGCAACTAAAGCACAAAAATAGTATAAAAGTGGACACACAGCAGTTCCGCTTACGTAAACAAGAGCCTTTCTCAGTGCCGAAACACAAAATTCTATTTGTATTTGCTAGTGCAATTTGAGGTTGGATATTGAGGATTGTTCTTGTTTTCAGAACCAGAAGTGTCCATTTAGTGCTTTATTCACTTTAATTTGATTTATTCATCACAATGACCGTCCAGTGCCTTAATCACTGATCCATCGCGGCTTTTAAAGAAGCAAGTTTTTAAAATATAAAACAGTATTGCTGAAAATTAAACCACTTAATTGACTCAGATTGCACCTAAGACAATTGATTTTGTTCTTACCTCTTTTGTTTCTCCACTTTCAATCTTTGCACGTTTTCAATAGATTAGTCAATAGGTGATTACTCAATAGATTAGTCAATTAGTCAATAAGACTTGATAAAAATGAGTATTGGGATGAATTGAAGCGGTCAATGTTAAAAAGGGGTACATAACATTTTTACAAAACTAAGTTTTTTGCTACTTTTGGCATATCCGATTAACAATTACCGAGTAATATTTTAAACTGCTTAAAGAAGAGAATCCAAAAATTTGGAAACAATTAAAACGATCTTTCTAGAATAGACGCAGTTTCTTTGGCTTTTTTCGAAAGTCCAGACTTGTAACATACCCCCTTTTAACACTGACCTCTTCAATTTTTATATTAAAAATGGATTTGTTATTGATAGTCTAACATAATCTAACTTTTTCATGAAAAAAAGTTAATTTTAATAATAGTACTTTTGGATACAAAAACAAATGTAAACTTAGATTTATACCTCGTGCTGGCAAATTGTAGTTCATTTACGTCGCACTAGAGCTGCACAATGGGCTATTGACGATGGCCAGGGAAACATGTCTGAAAATGATCCGCAGACATGCTATCACAATTTCGATCTTCTGGAGAGGGAATGCCCCCCCCACTTCAGTAGCCTAACGACCTGAGTGCGAAGACGAGCACTTTACGGTAATACAGTTTAAGGAGGACCAATACCGCATACCCTCGATTCCTTCACAGGTTACCCACCCGCTCATTGACCGCAGCCAGTGATGCTTGGTGTTCTACTGGGAGTCGTGTCTTAATGATAAGTCCACCGTGAGACGCCCTTGCGCTGACAAGTTGTTTTATTTTTTTATTTCTGTGATACGAAACACAAACGTTTTTCTTTTCATTTTTGTGATACGAAACACAAACGTTTTTATTTTTCATTTTTGTGATATGAAACACAAATGTCTTTTTTTCATTTATGTGCAGTAGACTGATCGTTAAGACACGGTTTCCAGTAGAGCATCGCAGTCAAGCATCACTGGCTGCGGTCAGTAAGTGGGTGGGTGACCACTTTGATCAGTCTGCGTAGGGACCGAGTGTGCACGATATCGGTGCTTATTAAACTGTTCTACCGTCAAGTGCTCGACTTCGTGCGCAGGCCGTTGGACTACCAAACCGGAGAAGCCATCCTCTTTGCAGGGGATGAAAATTAAGATGGCATGTCTTCGGATCATCCTCAGGGATGTTTCCCAGACCGTCGCCAATAGCCCATTGTGCAGCTCTAGTGCGACGTAAATAAAGTACCTAGCAACCTAACTACATTTCTGTTTTAACAGCCAGACGAAGTGTGCAGCACAATGTGCAATTGAAAAAAAGGTTCAATTTCGTCGCAGAAGAAAGAAATCTGAAGTGTGTGACAGAATTATTTCGCCAAAAAGAAGTATATTAATAAACAAGCCACATAATGTTTATCCCACAATATGTGCAAGTTATTTGAATTATAAAAAAATAAAAAGTTGAAATTGTTTCAANCCTCACACTATTGTATTGATATATTTTGCTTTGGCTATATTGATACAATATTAGAAAGCACTCCTTTTTACAGATATAATCGTGTGAGCTGATGAAGCTGATTTTTCCTTGGCTATTTAATATTTTTTTAAAACATAATTTTTTTTTTAATATTTGAAAAAAAAAATTATTGAATTTTTTTTAGAATATTTATGAAAAATTATTGATTTTTTTTTAATATTTAAGAAAATTTTATTGAATTTTTTTTTTAATATTTGAAGAAAATTTCGGTTGAATAAATTTTGATTATCTTCCGGCTAGTTTAAAACATATTGTATATTCTTTGTTAGAATTTTATAATAAAAATCGCCAACCGGTGTCCACATAGCAATGTCTCCAGTGTGTATTTATTTAAATTCAGCCATTTTTGATTAATAAATTTTGATAATCTTCAGTCTAGATTAAATCATATTGTACATTCCATGTTAAAATTTTATAGTAAAGGTCGCCAACCGGTGTCCACATAGCAATGTCGCCGGTGTGTGTTTATTTAATTTCAGCCATTTTTGATTAAGGAATTTTGATAATCTTCCATCTAGTTTAAAACATATTGCATAATCCTTGTTAAAATTTTATAGTAAAAGTCGCCAACCGGTGTCCACATAGCAATGTCGCCTGTGTGTGTTTATTTAATTTCAACCATTTTTGATTAAGGAATTTTGATAATCTTCCGGCTAGTTTAAAACATATTGTATAATCCTTGTTAAAATTTTATAGTAAAAGTCGCCAACTGGTGTCCACATAGCAATGTCGCCAGTGTGTGTTTATTTAATTTCAGCCATTTTTTATTAAGGAATTTTGATAATCTTCCGGCTAGTTTAAAACATATTGCATAATCCTTGTTAAAATTTTGTTGTAAAAATCGCCAACCGGTGTCCACATAGCAATGTCGCCAGTGTGTGTTTATTTAATTTCAGCCATTTTTTATTAAGGAATTTTGATAATCTTCCGGCTAGTTTAAAACATATTGTATAATCCTTGTTAAAATCGCCTACCGGTGTCCACATAGCAATGTCTCCAGTGTGCATCCATCCCTTTTCATCAATTGTTTTTTCTGTTTGTTCTACATCGTGGTAGTATCCTTTGAACACATTGTATCCTTTCACACACAACTAAAAACAAATCAGCAAATTAACCTTCATCAATAGTATTATGTATAGCTTTTTAGAGCTCAGCATCTAATAGATAAGACAATATTTAGTATAGATTTATCACTTAAAGGAAATATTTTAAGAATTTGTTTCTCTTCGCATGTTTTTAGAAAGTGATGGACTAGTTAAAAATTTAAATTAGTTTGACTGGATTAACTGGAGTTTCTAATTGAAATGAAAAATTAATGCAATTTAAAATATTCAATATAGGGAAACCTTTTGTACAGTCTAAAGGCATCTAAATAAAATATGATTTAAATCTTGTAAATTATGTTTCATGACCAAAACGTTCAGACAAACATTGAAAATATTCTACGCTATGCGAAAAATGCCATTGAGAAACAATGCAACTAATTTTAAAATTTAGTAGAAGGGTTTATCTGGTTTTCTGAGAAGAACTCTGTAAACAGAATGTTTTCCACGTTTTCCATTGATAAGTATTTAAAAATCATCAGTAATTTTTAAAATATTTAGAAGGAAAAAGCACTCTTATAGAGAATTATTCGAAATCGGAAAAAAACACTTCATAAAGAATCTGGAACAGATTTATCTATATCAATTGGTGCACCCAATGAATTTGATCGAGGTATGCGTTCCGCGAAAGAAAAAATATGAAAGTGGAAATGGCCTTTCTATTGATATTTTTTCCTTAATAATTTTCTTTAAATAAACGAACACCGTACATCTTCAACGTTTTAAGTGTTACTTTAAGAAGGCAATTTGAAGCTCTAAAAGTGCTATAATCGTAAAATGCATTTTATAGTTGTTCCGTGCCATCTATTGACAAATATTGCAACTAATTTTAAAATTTAGTAGAAGGAATTTCTAGTTTTCTGAGCAGAAACTAGTTTTCTAGTTTTCTGAGCACTGTAAGCAGAACACTTCAATTTCTTCCCTATTTTCTTTAATTAATGCTTAAAAATAATCGGTAATTTTTATAATATTCAGCAGAAAAAAAAACATTCTACGCATAATTATTCGAGATCGGAAGAAGAAGCACTGCATTAAGAATCTAGAACAGATTTATCTATATCAATTGATGCACCTTATAAAGTCTAAAAATATAAAAAAGATAATTGGTTTGCAAATGCGAAAATAAAGGTAAAAGTATTTAAAAATAACGGGCTGGCAAAAGCATAAATAAAATAAAATAAACTCAAAAAGAGATAAATTTAAAAAAAGAAAATCAGACGATAAAATTAGAAGTCAATTTTTAAAACGACAGAGTTGTTGGTTTTCTTTAGATTAGTTTTTGTTTGGAATTTGAGTTTCCTTATATCCCGTTACGGGTTTTTCTTGTTGTTTTATGATCTTTTTACTATTCCGTTACGGGTAATTCATATTTGTTACTGTTCGTGTTGTTTATAAATTAAAGTTTTTTATAAAAAAAACTGAACAGTTCTTTAATATAGCTTGATACGCTACAACCCAATGAATTTGATCGAGGTATGCGTTCAGCGAAAGAAAAACCATGAAAGTGGAAATGGCATTTCTATTGACATTTTTTCCTTAATAATTAACTTTAAATAAACGGACAACATAAATCTTCAACGTTTTTTCAAGTGTTACTTTAAGAAGTCAATTTGAAGCTCTAAAAGTGCTATAATCGTAAAATGCATTTTATAGTTGTTCCAGTGCCATCTATTGACAAACATTGCAACTAATTTTAAAATTAGGTGGGAGGAATAACTTGTTTTCTGAGAAGTACATTTCAAACAGAGCACATTAATTTTTTCTCTGTTTTCAAAAAGACAACTTGAAGCTCGGAAACTAGTGCTATAATCTTAATTTTGAGCAACGTTGTATTAAAAAGGAGTATGTAACAGTATTACTTACTTCACCTTCTCCATCTTTTGCGAAATATCCTAATTCAGGAACATCGACCAGTTTTAACATGTTACTTGGTATTGGTATACCGACATGCCCTTTTAATTAAAGAAAATAGTGAATATATTAAATGCAAAGACACAGTGAGCTAAATAAATAAGTAAATAAATCATTAGAGCAAGTAAACTTTCGACCATTCTCTGGTACTTTATTGTGGCCACCCTCCATAGTGGGAGAGTCAAAATTCGAATTTATTGAAAAACTTTTTGTCCAGAGAAAGTACAATTTTTGTTCGATTTCGTAACGAATATCGTCTGAATTAATTATTAATATATTTAAGACTGAGAACTTTGAGATTGATTTCCATGTGATTCATTGAGATTGAGTTCTAGTTCATGAATATCCGCTTATAATAGAGTCAAAGAGTCCATGAGAATCAAAGATTCGAATTTATCGAAGAAAGAAAAAGAATTTTTTGTTCTGAGAAAGTACAATTTTTGTTCGATTTCGTAACGAATATCGTCTGAATTAATTATTACTATATTTAAGATTGAATACTTTGAGATTGACTTCCATGTGATTCATTGAGATTGAGTTCTAGTTCATGAATATCCGTTTATTAAATCAAAATCTATTAAGCTTTATGGAGGTCTCTCGTATGATGAAAACTTTTTATTAAAAAACATAAATTAATATTACCGAAAGAGTTGTCACTGTCAATATTTAACGTGCAAGGTCCAGTAGTTTCAGTTTGCCCGTAGGCTTCATAAACCTAATAGGTGAATAAATAAATAGATAAAACTGATTAAATAGTAGCAATAAATATTATCTAATTAGATAAAAGTTAAAAAGAATGTAAAGTAATAATTTATTTGCAATTTAATTAAAAAAGCATTTACGCTTTACGCTGTTGCAAATTCGTTGTGCTGTTATTCCCAGACTTTGCAAATTAAAGATTTTTTTAAGGCATAGTTACACATTTTATTTATTGCAATAAAACTTATTTATGTCACTTGAATTGGAGTACAAAGTAGTACTCACAGTAGAAGAGCCTTAGGAACTAATGGGTCACTTTGAAAATTGCTGACTTCACTTTTCAATGTACCCAAGGAACTCATTTTTATAAACCTAACAAATGACGTCAGCAGTTTGCAAAGAGTCAATTTTTCCAATTAGCCGATGACATATACAGCGCAATACCGAAATTTATTCATTAAATAAGAGATTCAAAATTGCCAGGAGAAAAAATAAAACAATTACTTTCAAACTGTACATCAACATCGCCAATTCTTGAAGTGATATTGCATAATCCCCTTTTTGATTGCTTTCTTATTAACAGTAATAATGAATTAAGAAGCAATAAGAATTAATATAAATGATTTCTAACAATCGTAACAAATATATACATCTTACTATTCGCATTTAAAGAAACTGATGAAAGAATATTATAATTTCTCCCACAACGAAAAAAAATAAAAATTCTTAACTCACATTTAATGTGTTAAGAGCGTATCAGCAGAAGACGAACCATTTTCAGTAGTCCAATCAAATCCAATGCTCTTGCAACGTAATATAGTTGTTTCCTTTTCAAGAACGAATGTTCTCCTTCGTTAGCGAAATATGTTACCAAATCTAGAATTCCCGTAAGACTACGAAACTATAACTCTTTTTTTTAATAATTCTATGATATATATATCATAAGAAATAGAGCTGAACTTCTGAGGACTACAAGGCTACAAAGTTGACAATTGATAGCCGTTAATCCAAAAAACCAATAGGTAATGATTGAGAAAACAGTTCATAATGCTTGTAATACTTATACGCATTTACCGATATTTTTAATTCTCTGAATGGCGCCACCCTAATATGGAATTTGTAAAATAAATGTATATATTTTTGATTGTTGATGAAGCCCATCATTTTGCGTTTTCATCAGTGTTCAGAAGCAGAACAACTATAAGTTCTTTATTTTATCACAAAAATATAAAATGTATAAAAAACAAAGAGTAAGAAAATGAGTATAGTCATAGAAAAAGTTAAAATTATAATATAGTATTTATCAGTTAAAATAAAACTTTTTGTTTAAGTCATTGTTAACAAGTCAAATTTCTCTGAAGCAATTCTAAACCTAAATTTTGCTCACTACGTGCTCTTGCGCGCCGAATCCAATCAATTAAAAATGAAAATTGTTGCCAGGGCGAGAAAAGAAATATCATCGGTTTTATTGATACATACATACGTACGTATTAGCGTTTTATATAATATAGATGATTTCTAACAATTGTAACAAATATATACAACTTTGTTTTTGCATTTAAAGAAACTGAAAGAATAATATAATTTCTCTTACAGCGAAACAAAATAAAAATTCTTTTTGTTACATTTGATGTGTTAAGAGCGTATCAGCAGAAGACGAACCATTTTTAGTAGTCCAATCAAATCCAATACTCTTGCAACGTAATATAGTTGTTTCTTTTTCAAGAACGAATGTTCTCCTTCGTTAGCGAAGTATGTTACCAAATCTAGAATTCCCGTAAAACAACGAAACTATAACTCCTTTTTTAAATAATTTTATGATATATATATATATCGTAAAAAATATAGTTATTCTACTGAAGACTACAAGGCTACAAAGGTTACAATAGATAGCCGCTAATCCTAAAACCAATTGGTATTGATTGAGAAAACAATTCATAATGCTTGTAATACTTATACGCATTTACCGATATTTTTAATTCTCTGAATGGCGCCACCCTAATATGGAATTTGTAAAATAAATGTATATATTTTTGATTGTTGATGAAGCCCATCATTTTGCGTTTTCATCAGTGTTCAGAAGCAGAACAACTATAAGTTCTTTATTTTATCACAAAAATATAAAATGTATAAAAAACAAAGAGTAAGAAAATGAGTATAGTCATAGAAAAAGTTAAAATTATAATATAGTATTTATCAGTTAAAATAAAACTTTTTGTTTAAGTCATTGTTAACAAGTCAAATTTCTCTGAAGCAATTCTAAACCTAAATTTTGCTCACTACGTGCTCTTGCGCGCCGAATCCAATCAATTAAAAATGAAAATTGTTGCCAGGGCGAGAAAAGAAATATCATCGGTTTTATTGATACATACATACGTACGTATTAGCGTTTTATATAATATAGATGATTTCTAACAATCGTAACAAATATATACAACTTTGTGTTTGCATTTAAAGAAACTTATGAAAGAATAATATAATTTCTCTTACAGCGAAACAAAATAAAAATTCTTTTTGTTACATTTGATGTGTTAAGAGCGTATCAGCAGAAGACGAACCATTTTTAGTAGTCCAATCAAATCCAATACTCTTGCAACGTAATATAGTTGTTTCTTTTTCAAGAACGAATGTTCTCCTTCGTTAGCGAAGTATGTTACCAAATCTAGAATTCCCGTAAAACAACGAAACTATAACTCCTTTTTTAAATAATTTTATGATATATATATATCGTAAAAAATATAGTTATTCTACTGAAGACTACAAGGCTACAAAGGTTACAATAGATAGCCGCTAATCCTAAAACCAATTGGTATTGATTGAGAAAACAATTCACAATGCTTGTAATACTTATACGCATTTACCGATATTTACTCATTATGCATTGAGAATAAGTTTGTAAATATACATAATTTGCGTATGAAACAGGGTGATTCGCCAATCACGGCGCAAACTAGGAAGGTGTACGCGTAAGCAATTGTAATTTTGTATAGGAATATAAGGTTTAAAGGGTTGTGTTTAAGCGCAAAGGCAAAAAACTACACAGGAGGCAAAACTAGTTCTTTTTACAAAAC